CATTTCTTTTTGTATTTTAATTTAAAAAAAACGCCACTTTTTTTTTCTTCGAAAAATTCTCAAATAAATTGTCTTTCAATACGCAAATTTATGGGACAGGTTCTAGAGTAAGATCTTTTTTATTCTATTTTTTTTAAGTACATTTCTTTTTGTATTTTAATTTAAAAAAACGCCATTCTTTTTCAAAAAGCACTTTTTTTAGTTTAAAACTTAAAAAAAAGACAGAAAAACTAAATATGTATATTATTTTTATTTATTTTTTATAAAACTACATCTCAAAACGAACAAAATGAAAAAAACTGTTTTTGATATCTACTTTCTTTGAAAACTTCTGATAGTTTTTGCCATGTATTTGAATTTTTTTTTTGAAATAAAAATTTTTTAAAATTCAGGAGAGTTCTAAATAGGTATTAAATAATAACAAAAAATCGGGAAAATTAAAAATGGTCTGGTCACGACCTTTGTGCCTTGGCATGGAATATACATCCCATACATTTCTTTCAAATTTGTAGAGAGAGGTTTATGGGGTCGCTAAATTAGAATATGGTATTCATTTTTAGATAAGAACAGCTAATATACAGGGTGATTCACAAGTGGTGACCAAAAATGAACCCTCGTATTCTCTGGTGAATTTTAAGGAGTGCCTTTCCTATAAAGTTTTTATCTAGGGCGTTTCGTTAAAAAGATACAGGGTGTTAAACTTCAAAAAACATTTTTATTTTTTTTTTTAATAATTTAAAAACTACATAGTGAAATAATTTGAAATTGGGCACATGTATTTATGTAAACTTTGTCCAAAATCTGAGGGCATTTCATAAAATTTACATGCTCCAGTGGCGGAGATACAGGGTATCCGTGGCATATTTTTCTAAATAAAATATTACGCCACTGCTTTACGGTAACAACAATTATATTTTTGGGCTCGTCTTTCAATTTTCTACAAATTACTATCCTCTTATGTTTTTCGAAAAAAGCCTGATTTTTACCGTAAAGCAGTGGCGTACTATTTTATTTAGAAAAATATGCCACCGATACCCTGTATCTCCGCCAATGGAACATTTAAATTTTAGAAAAAGCCCTCAGATTTTGGACAATGTTTACATAAATACATGTGCCCAATTTCAAATTATTTCACTTAAGTACCAGTTTTTAAATTATTTAAAAAAATTAAAAATATTTTTTGAAGTTTAACACCCTGTATCTTTTTAACGAAGCGTCCTAGATAATAACTTTATAAGAAAAACTGTCCTTAAAATTCACCAAAGAATACGAGGTTTCATTTTTGGTCACCATTTATGTATCACCCTGTATATATTTTTAAAAGTTTGTCCCTTTTCTTAATTTTAAAATTGGATGTTTTTAAAAAATAGGTCCATCATTCACGAAAATATCTAAAGCTTAACATTGCTCGATGAAATTTGGCCTATTAAGTATTAAGTCTTAATTAAGTAAAAGTAAAAAATCATTAATTTTTGTATACGTTTATGTAAACATTTGCTTCTGAATTGTATTTCAATAAGAAAAGGTCTCCCATTTTATTTGGACAACAAGCCATTTTTAATAATTTTTTTAAATCGAAAAATTTTATTAAGCGATAATAACTTTAAAACTGCTCATAAGTTATTCACACCTCACCATTTTTTACAAATTTTTAACGTTCGTGCGACAAAGAATGACATTTTTCTTCTATAATATTTTTTTCAGTGACTTAATTATAAACATTTTAAATTATTGACATTCATTGACATTTTTCTATGATTTTTTTGTTGTGAAACTTACGCATCGAAAATATTTTTAGTTATATTTTCTAAACATAACACCGGCTAAGGCTTACGGCGTTAATAATTCCACGTGCCCCACGTCCTGCCCAAAAGACCTGATCCCAGGGGAATACCCTGTAGGATATCTCATCAAACTTTAGACTGATGTATTTTCGCTCTCGTTATTATTTTCATTAAAAGTTATAAAATATAAAACGGAACGCGCCGAAAATTATCTCCTCTGGTAATCATTTTCTCTTGTACTAATTTTATCTTCCATAAACAGCTGGAGCAAAAAAACACGCTTTGGTGTAAATATTAGTAACCATGTAAAGGTACAAATTTGCACATTTTCAAACATTCTTTAATAAACCTAAAATTTCTACCGAAAAATAATTAATAAAACTAAAAAATACTATTAATCAAACCAATCCATCGTCGAAAAAATCTGTTAAAGGGTGTTTTTATTAGATGTATTTTTGTTTATGCAAATTGATTTTATAGCCTGACATTATTTCACGAACACATCGTCAATCAGAAAAACGTTTAATTTGATAGGCATACATTTTAAAATTTCTTTAGATCCCTCCGCCCTATTTGCGCACCGAGGTGTCGAACTCAAATCAAAAATTTAAAATTAACTGAATTATTACGACATTCGCGTAATATCGAAATCTTGACGAACGGGAGTGGCGTGGGCTGCACGCCACTGTCTTTCCCACCGTTCCGAGAATTTATATAAACATACAAAACATCAATGCATTCACTACTCAATCGATTCCAATATACCTCCTCTCCAAGGGGCGACTATTCTCCGGAACCCCTCGGGCCATCTTCAACGAAAATGGATCAAGGAGTTTATTTGCTGACATACCGGAGGAGCAGAAGGATGCACCCACGCGCAAGTTATTACTCCAGGGGGTCCTTTTTAGTAAATATCCGGGAATGATTTTAAATACCGCGCCTTGGAAGATCCAACGTTTAATCCTATATCGCCTTAATAGAGATACGGGTTCGAAAAGCAATGATAAATGCAGTAATATGTGTTGCCAGCTCAAATACAGTGGGGAAATTCAGAGGGTTTCAGTTTAAATGTGTTTAAACTTGATGTGAATAATTTAAAAAAATTATATACTTTATATAATTTGTCCAAGCAAGTCCCATTCTTGCTATTTTTTTGTATATACATATTTATTCATAATCAAGATGATACGACGTCCAACACTCAACACGTCTGCATATATCACAGCTAAAATAGGTTATACTTATAACCCCTTGTTTAATAACACGAAAAATTGTGGACACTGAAACTTTGGTTAATATGTGAATTCTATTTATAATTTCATTACCTGATTTTTCATTTTCTTCCTTTTTTCGTAAATATTTAAAATCAGACGCTGACATTGAACACGTAAATCTTTATTTTTAAATTCTATACCTGTTTCATCAACAACCGGTTCTACTAATTCAATATTGTCTGGCGGTATTTCGTTTTGTTCCGTTTCAAAAGGTTTCCAAAATGCCATGTTGTAATAATATTAGTAAACAAAATATTCGTTTTTATTTCTCCCTTTCCCAATTGTAATATGAACGATTAATAGGAGGTGACTATAATAAATTAAAAATACCTGAATCACATTAAATTCCGCGTTGCTGCACTGCACTGCTAGGCAATTTGTCAACAACTGAAATTTATGGCCGGTCGCCCAGTGCGGCTGTGTTTGTGCGCCGTTTGCCTCGCGTAACGTATTAATATTTTCACAATATACTTTCTATTATAAACACAGACTTATAAAATGTAGCATTAATACGACGATATTACTAAACGAGACTGCAATAAAAGTAATTCTTAAAAGTACATATTTACTGCTACAATTTAGCGGTTGCTTTTCTTGAGTTTTTCTGAGACTTTCATTTTCCAACAAACTTGCAGTGTATGCATATTTCAAACAATCTCGTAATAACGATAGAGTAATACTTTAGAATATTTACACCATTTAGTACCACGATGAAAACTGAAACTATTTTACAGTTTCGTTGAACCGCTATAGATTCGCACGTATTTGTTTTGATTGCTCGACCCGTTTTCGCGTCCGTGTATATTTTCCTTAGAATATATTCTGTTTTCGTATTTATTTTCCAAAGGATTCATAGTGTCGTAAAATCCGAGCAATCTTTAAATCGTCACTCCGGGATAGTATATTCATAAATAAGTTGGCGCGTTACAATTCCTACACGTTTCGGAGATTCTGGTCACCCACTCTGACATACAGGGTGTTACAGAAAAGCAGGACAAACCGCTAATCGAGGATTCTTTGCGATTTTTCAGTTAAAAACATTTTTTTTCAAGATATAACAGTTAAAAGTACTGTTAAGAAAATTATTCATAAAAAGTACAAGCTGTGGATAATCCTGAAAAAAAGAAAAGTAAAGAAGCAAAAGTTTTATTTAGAAAATGACAACTCAAGCATAGACGTAGACAAGTAAAAAGGGAACATTTCATAAATAAAAGTAAATTGAATATTTTGTTACGCTCGTTTCGTTCCATTTGTTTCACTGTGTGTATTCTCTTCGAGTTAAAGCCTTGACCGAGCTTGGAGGCGCCTGAAAAATCCCCCAAATCCCGAAACCGCCCTCAATTTTAATTACCCTCTTTTTTTCCAGATTCGCGCCCGTCAATTTAACGAAATCTCCCCCCGACAAGACTCCAATTAGACTAGAGTGCGCCGCTTCCTAAATCACCGGCCCGAAATCCGCGAAAGAACAGCACAGCAGGCCGCGGAAAAAAACACACTTCCCCATCAAGCGAGCCATGCGGGCGACCACAGTGCCGTCCGTCCTGTGGGTCCTCGCGGTGCTAGTGGTCTTCGCATGCGAAGGGGGGGAGGCCGGCGACGTGGCCCACCTGTCGTTCACCAGCACCAGATGCCCGAGGGGGTGTTCGTGCGTCGCCTCCGCCGTCGATTGCTCCCGCAGGGGTCTCACCTCGGTGCCCAGGAACATACCGTTGGACACCGAAAGAATGTAAGTGATTTTTTTCATTTTCTTGTTGCATGAATGGCAGTGGTAGGCGAATAAGGCTCGCTTTAGCTGAAACGCGGATGATTTTGGAGGAAATTCAGGGGACTTCCAGTGAAATCTTGGGGAATTCAGGGGAAATCTCGGGGAATTTAGGGGAAATATCGGGGAATTCAGGGGAAATCTCTGGAAATTTAGGGAAAATCTCGGGAAATTCAGTGGAAATCCTTTGAAATATTAAATTAAACAAATGAAATTGTGGTTTAAATTTCGAAAAACGTAAATTTATGTGGTAGTAATGTGGTGAAAAGATTTTAATATTTCTGTGTAACACCACCAACACTGCGTGGTTGATCTCCCTCTCACAAGTGACAGATTACGTTACTCGTAGGTACCACTGTGAAGTCAGCGGTCCCCAACAAGTATTCTGCAAAAAAATCGTGTATGATTATTCTAAATTTGACTTTTATTCCTTATTTTCATTGAAATATATGTATAGACTTAACATGTAAGCCAGTCGAACTGTCGATTTAGTCAGCGGTTCCAAAAATACTTCTTCGTATCATTGCGGTAAGTCGGTAGGTATTAAAATAAATGTTTGCGCAAAATATTTACGTCAATAGATTGTTCGCATCTCGGTTTACTTAGTCTGCAAATATCCTAAGTCACGACTGAGAGAAGTTCGCGTTGACAGGAGGTGATTCCTTTGAAAATTTGCATTTGCGTCGTTAATTATTTTAATATAGGAGTAGAAGTCCTTGTAACGTGTTTTAGGAGTCCCGTGCAAAAATCGTGGACGCAGACGGATCAAAACCCCAGGTGGGCTAGGCACGAGAACGGATATTTCTGGATTTTCAGGTTGGTTTTCGTGGCGTTACGGAATACTGACAAATTGCAGGTGTTAACCCACCGCTGCGTGAGTAATGAGGTCGATTTGAATTACCTGCGTAAGCGTAACGTCCGGTGTTGTCCAGGGAAAGGTGTCGCTTGCAGTGGGCCTTTTTGCAACCGGATTCATAGGATATCGTACGAACTCGCAAAAAATTGAAATTTGGGGTTTATTAAAAATATTTATTTACAATAAATTATAATGTATATAATATTTGATTCGTAATTGATTTTATATAAACTAATGCAAAAAATTTAAGAGTCAAAAGAATTTCCTAAATTTTTCCGTGATTTTTGACAGACTGTATTTAGGTGAAAAATGGTCGTATCGGGAATTAAAAAAAGCGTTTTGAAGCTCTAAGATTCTAGTTTTTAGATCTTTCGGTCGAATAGTAGTGTAAATTCAGAATCGCGACTGAATTCCACCCCTGCATCAGCCGCCATCTTGAATTTAAGGAAAAATAGTTTTTGTTCAATATCTCAGCCATTTTCAACTTCACAACAAAAATGGTAAGGACTTAAGTTGTTGCAAATGCGATTTCCTACAACTTTTTTCTTACAAATTTTATCGTGCGGTCGATATTTTTCAAGTTAAGGAGGAAAATAGTGGCAAAGTATAATTATTGAATTATCTCGTTTGTTATTGACTTTACGACATAAATATACATAAACAAAGTTGAAAAGAATTATATTTTCTACAATTTTGGTCTCTTTGATTTTTTCGCTACGAAAATCTTTTAATTCTTTGCAATAGTTTAAAGCAATTAGAAATTTTGAATCGTAATGATTCCGATCCTGGTTACTGAACAGCAAGTTACCAAAGTCGACGTTCAATCACGTTCGTTGATGGGTCCGTAAAGGTCCTGTAGTGAAGTCCGCCTTAAATCTAGACAATTGACTTCGCTGGATTTTAGATTATAGTCGCCTGGAATGGTTCCTTTTGTTTTCCGAAATCCGAAACTGGGGTGATTTTTTTCAACTTTACAGCACTTCGTCAGTATCGTCTACTGAGGCTTCGGTGTTTGGGGCGGCTGCATATATAATTTAAAGTAAATATTTTCTTTTAGGATGATCAGTAAAATTCTCGAAACGTCGTAAATTTTATAAAACCGTTTCTGTTATTGATGTTTCTGTATATTTTTTCTTCCACTGATCCTCTAAACCCGCCACTGCGATTTTCATTCCATTTTTTTTCGTTCAAAACGCAGCGCAGCGTTTAGAGACCAATAAGAGATGCCCACTTATCTGATCTGTGAAATGTATGACCAAAAACGAAAACCGAGTACAAACCTCCGAACAAATCGCCCCCAAATGCATTCCAGATTTAAAATATATGACGGCCCGCCCCAAGCTACGCGTCCGTAGACCATTAACATCCAGATCGGTAGTTCTGAAACTACGAGCAACCGTCGGCCTCCTCGTATACTTAATATACTTTCCCGAATGTGAGACCTGGTACGTCCATAAATCACTTTCACCTTAAAACTAGCAAAATGGATTTTAATGATCTGCCCCGTAACAGCTGTAGATCAATCATATTGTGGATGGGTCGGGTCCTGTGAGAAAATTGAAGAAAAAGTGTCTCGGATCTAGTAGATGTACTGGAGGTGAACAGCGCAAACAGTCGAAAGTGGTTTTTAGCGTAAATGTGGTTCTGACGTAAGCGTAAGGGCGTTTACAAACTCGGAGATGATTTTTTTTTCAAAATTCAATAGTCAAAACGTCCACAGTACATCGAAACGAACTATACCCGCATTATGGTAATCACCGCAGTGTGTATTTAATCATGTCGTCTTAAACTAATATCCCCGTTCGGGGTGTGCCGGGCAGAGCGCGATGCGAAGGACCGTACTTCCCATATAAGTATCATCTCGGACGCGACAATGCCGATATAAGCGATCATATTTATGCAAATTGGCAAGGGCGGGAGGAAGCTTTCCTAACGCGCGACACGACAGCCAACGTTGCGTTTCTGCAAAACGATAAATTATTTTGACCTCAAAATTGTTATTCACCGCAATTTTTGCAGATGCAATCGCGAAAAATAGTGACGTCGTTGTGCGGTATAATGAGGACATCCTACTATGCCCATTCAAGCCTAGAAATAGACGAATGACGGTGATGTTTCGGCTGATTTTTAGCTAGTTTACGTCATAAATATGTATGTATGTACAGGGTGTCCCTGAAAAGGATGGACAACGCTTGAACACAGGTTCCTTGGATGATAATAAGACTATTTAGCCTAACTTACCTATATACCAAAGGGCACGCCTACTGAGATATAGCCTTCTAAATATAGAATAACCTATTTTTTTTTCAAATAATTTGAAAACTATTTTTCTTAGAAACTTCAAATTTGGTACACTTATTTTTTTATATAAGGGCAAGGTAAATATAGAATTTGGAGAGAATACATATACAGGATGTTCTATTTCTAGTGCCTGTGCGCCACTGGCTATCCCGTAACTGTTTTGTGTGTATGCCAATGACGACAGAATTCACACTATTTTAAAAGATTTTTTTCCTCTTACAAAATTTCGATATCATTTATGGATTTCGAGTAAAATTCGCATTTTTTATACATTAAATATAGGCAAAAATTCCGATTTATAAAAAATAATTTATAACTGCAGCCTCAAAGCAGGGAATAATAATGAAAAAATGTCACATTAAAAAAATAACTACACATTTTTGGTATTAGTATTATCAATCAATAAAATAAAAATCAACACTAATATTTTAAATAAACAATATCAACTAATAATGTAAGAAA